GCCCCCGCCCCCACGCATCCTAGCTGCAAGGCAGCCCCCTGCCCTTGCATCCCAGCTAGGAGCATCTCTGTCCCCGGAGCATCCTCTGCTGCCCACCTTGCCTCACCCTGTCAGGTCCTTCTTGCCCCGGAGCCGCCCGTCCCTATCTTCCGTGAAGGTGCAGTCCCCTCGCGCTCCCCGGCTGACTCTCAGCGACCCTGGCCCACCCCTCAGCTAGGCGTCCAGTTTCCCCTACGGAGAATCCCGGTTTCCCCGCCGGGCGGAGCCAGGCCCGCCCCGCCTCACGATGGGAGCTGCCCCTGGTCCTGACCGCCTCTTGGCTCCACACCCTCCCTCCTTTCGGCCCCGCCCCGGAACTGGCCCTGGAGAGGCCCCCAGCAGCCCAGCAGCTCCCAGACCAATGGAGCAAAGAAGGGAATCAGGGAAGAAGGCCTGGATTGGAGCTAAAAGCAAGAGCAGGGTCTCTGCAGCTACCTTCCCACAGCTCCTGTCCCGGCCTGCCCCTTTTTTGCTACCCCACACCCATACCTCAAGGCCTCTTCTGTTTGCACGGTCCTCAGACTGGGCCCAAACCAAGGCCCAAGCCCCAGTACTGCCACAATCCTGACCCCCAGAATCCGGAGCACAGGCTAGCTCACACAGAGACCAGGACACTCAAGGATACTCAGCGGCATGCTGCACCTTGGCGATTTTCCACACCTCCACACACACACAAGCATAATCGTGAGATGTGTGTACACACATCTTTATAGCAATCGCACCCCCACACATCTCTCTCTCTCCCTCTTTCTCTGGGATATCTGAATGGTTCTTCCAGCAGATGGGTATGGGCTCATTTAAACACTAAATCCTTCCCACCCCATACCCACACCAGCACCTTCTGGCTCTGTGCCCCTTTCACAACTGCAAGCACAGCATACTCATTCACACTTACCCATCCCCACCACTGCCACACAGGAGCTCCCTGGCATCTTCAGAAGGCACGTACAGACGTAGTAAAAGGCAGATACACACACCCAGACCACTAGAATGTAGTCGAAGGGACACCCCCATGCCCCTACACTCTGACTCACTGCGTATGGGTTGATGGCTGCTGGAGTAAACGGGTTGGAAAAATCCTTCACACCTTCAGAAATGTAAGACACACCCTCCCACAGACAGTGTCACTCAGCAACTGTTCCTTGACTCAGGAACATCAGGAGCCAAAGTTTTCTCCACACCCCTTTCCTCTCTAATAGGAAGAGAACAGGTCTGTGTCCCTGTCCTTTGTCTCTGTTTCTCTCTCCTCCCATCTGACCCTGCCCCTGGAGAGTCCTGGAGAGGTGGGGGTAGCCAGGATAAGGGGAACTCTAAGCAGGCCCCTACCCACCTGCAGACAGCATCCGGAGGTGCCTGAGCCAAGGGGCTGTGCTCCAGCAACATCGCGTGAAGCTGGAGACAAAACCCAAGAAGTTTGAAGACCGAGTGCTGGTGAGGGCGCTGGGCTTGGGGGCAAGGGGAGGTATCAAAGGCAGCTGGGCTGCTGAAGGCAGAGAGCCTGGAGGGCAGGGGAGACAGAAGTGAGGGAAAGCTGAGAAGACATAGCCTGGGAGAGAGGCAGACTGGACTGAGTAGGTATCCAGGAAACTAGGGTGGGGCGTGGGAGAGCGAGACGACCCCAGGGCAGAGGGCCGCTGCTGGCAGGGGTTGCACACAGGCTGAGGGGGCTAAAGGAAGGCAGGGGGATGAAGGTCTGGGAAGCCACCATTTGCTGCTAACTTTCTTTTCCTCTGAAGGCCCTGACTTCCTGGCGCCTCCACCTCTTTCCTTTTAAAGTCCCAGCCAAGGTGAGTTGGGCTGAGGAAGGGGAGAGCACCAGGCATGCTCCCTCCTGAGCCTGGCAGCCAGACCCTTACCATGAGCTGAGCATCCCCCATGCCTCCAGGTGGAGAGCTCCTTCAATGTCCTGGAGATCCGGGCCTTCAACACCCTTAGTCAGAACCAGGTGAGTGCCAGGGCCTGGGGCCCCACTATTGGGCCAGCAAGAGGAAAGAGTAGATATCTAAGGCCCTGCTGCTCCTTCTCCCACAGATCCTAGTGGAGACAGAGCGTGGCATGGTGAGCATGCGGCTGCCATCAGCTGAGAGTGTGGACCAGGTGACGCGACACGTGAGCTCTGCCCTCTCCAAGGTCTGCCCTGGCCCTGGGTGAGTGGCAAAGGAGAAATCTCTCAAGGGGGCTGGATAACAAGGAGACTACTCCTTCCTTTCCTCCTTCCCCTGGACCTGAGTTCCTGGGACACTGAGGAGAAGAACACTCATGTCCCCACTCCTCTTTTTTCCTGGGGATCCAGAAGCTATCACAGGGGAATTGAGAGTCCCTTTTCACCCTCTTTGGGATGGATTTGTTCATCTTTCAGGTGTCTGATCCGGCGTGGAAATGCAGACACCCCAGAAGGACCCCGGGACACATCCCCCAACTCTGAGACTTCTACATCTACCACTCACAGTGTCTGCGGTGAGCAGGGGCAGACTTGAGGAAAGTGGGACCTAAACCACCCTGCTCTTTGTTCAGAGTCTTCTGTGTATGGGGCCTCACTTGCCTTGAGGACTCTATAGCTCCCAGACTTCAGAGGTTCATGGTGCAGCAGGAACCCAGGACACTGGCGTATAAATGACCTTGACTTTTCCTTGACCTCTCCAAGCCCATTCCTCTCCCTCTCGCTCCTCTTGGAGTCAGCCCATCTCCTACTCCACAGGTGGCTTCTCTGAGACCTACGCTGCCCTGTGTGACTACAATGGGCTGCACTGCCGTGAGGAGGTGCAATGGGTGCGTTGGGCAGGGAACCAGT